GCTGATGCATAGGAGCACATGTACCCCAATGTTCATAGCAGCACTCTCCACAATAGCTAAAACATGGAAAGAGCCTAAGTGTCCATCAACGGACGAATGGATCAAGAAGATGTGGTTTATCTCTACGATGGAATACTATATGGCAATGAGAAAGAATGAAATCTGGCCATGTGTAGCAACATGGATGGACCTTGAAGGTGTTATGCTGAGTGAAATAAGTCAGGCAGAGAAGGACAAATACCATGTTTGCACGTATAGGAGGATTAGGAGGAACTTAACGGAGGACCGCGGGGGAGAAGAAGGGTGGAAAAGTGGAGGAGGGGGAGAGAGGCAAACCATGAGAGACTCTTGAATGCTGAGAACAAACTGAGGACTGATGGGTGTGGGGTGGGGGGGGGGGAGATGGGCATGGAGGAGGGCACTTGTGGGAATGAGCACTGGGTGTTGTAGGAAACCAACTTGACAATAAAGTATTTGAAAATAAATAAATAAATAAATAAAAAATTTAGATGTTGAATTTTCCACTACAACATACCTGGATAATTGGTCATCTTCCTTTGAGAATTTGAGAAATGGTTAGTTAGGCACTCCCAAGCCTAGATAGTTCCAAATTTATGGAAAATTTATCTTTATTAATTAAGCCAAAGTGGTTTTTGACCATTCTTTTCCGCTTCATACAGCAACAGAGTAAATCGAATATTTTTTTATATGGTTTTTCAGCCTCTCTCCTCTACCTATGCACAGCAGTCTTTTTGAAAAGGTGAGGCTATTAACAACTATCCCACCTGAGCAGGCCCTGGATTCCTATTAATGGGCTGAAATTTCCTGAGGGGTGCAGTGGGAAGGTGTGGGCCTCCATCTGGGCCACAAACCACACCTGAAAGCTGTTCACTGCCTGATTCCCTGGAAGGCTACAACCCTCTTTTTTTTTTTTAATGTTTTATTTATTTCTGTGTGGGAGGGGGGAGAGAGAGAGTGAGCAGGGGAGGGTCAGAGAGAGAGGGAGACACAGAATCTGAAGCAGGTTCCAGGCTCTGAGCTAGCTGTCAGCACAGAGCTGGATGCGGGGCTCGAACCCACGAACTGTGAGATCATGACCTGAGCAGAAGTCAGACGCTTAACCGACTGAGCCACCCAGGCGCCCCCCCCTCCTATTTTTTTAATGTTTTATTTTTTAAAATGTTTTGTGTTTATTTTATTTTTGAAAGGGGGAAGGTCAGAGAGAGAGGGAAACACAGAATCCGAAGCAGCTCCAGGCTCCAAGCTGTCAGCCCAGAGCCCGACGCGGGGCTCGAACCCACGAACCATGAGATCATAACCTGAGGCGAAGTCGGACGCTTAACCAACTGAGCCACCCAGGCGCCCCTACAACTCTCTTGATGAGTCCTGACATCCTCACACACTAAGTTTGGAAGGATGGCTGGGGGTACTGAGCGCCTTCCCTTTGGACCCTGAACTAGACTACCAAGGCTCTAAAAACAAAGTCAGAGGTATGAGTGCATAGACCCAAAGCTAAGACTTGCTAAAGGCTGGAATGAGATAACAACCCCACCCCCCTCACCCCCAAACCTTTCTGGCTGAAGAGAAAACAGCCCTCTCCCCCATGCCCACCTCTGATTGGTGTGCCCTGCCCCCTAGGCCCGCGTGCTTTCTGCTGCTTACCCACCTGCATCCCCCATCCTGGGAGCACTCCTGCTGAGCCCATTAGAGGCTTTCCTGGTTATCGGATACTGAAAAGTTTGCATGCAGGACAGTCCTCTTTCTAACATTTTCAGTTTGTTATTTAAACACTCGTGAGCCTGGCCCTGCCGTGATTCCACCCTAGAACCCTAAAATGATGATGCTTATAGGGTTTAAAGGCTGAAGAGAAAGGAGGCTAGTCTGGGGAATGACAGAAGGTTGGCGCAGCAGAGGCAGGCAGGATCTCTGCTTCCTAATCCTGGGACTTGAGACTGAGAGATTTTGGAGCCAAAGGTTTTCCTATATGAAAAATAAGGGATGTGTTGAATGTTTCCCAAGATCCTCTTCAACTCTAAATACTACAGGAAAGTATTCTGTGGAATTAGAGTCATGAGCTCCTAGAACTTCGTTCAAGCTAAGGTGCTATGGGCAAGGAATTGGAAAATTGAGATGGGTGGCCTCTTGATTCCACCGAGCCTGAGATGATTAAGTTGTGGGGTGCCTGGGTGGCTCAGTTAGTTAAGCTTCCCACTTCTGCTCAGGTCATGATCTTGCAGTTTGTGAGTTCGAGCCCCGTGTCAGGTGCTTTGCTGACATCTCAGAGCCTGGAGCCTGCTTTGGATTCTGTGTCTCCCTCTCTCTCGGCCCCTCCCCTGCTCATGTTCATGCTCAGACTCTGTCTTAAAAAATAAACATTTAAAACAATTTTTTTAATGAATAAATTGTCTTCCAACAATCTGTCTTCAAACAAGAATATAGGACCACAATTTCCTGAGAGCTTTTACTTTTCTTTTTCTCCCTTCCTTCCTTCCTTCCTTTTTTTTTTTTTTTTTTTTTTTTGATAACCCCTTCCCCCCCTGCTGCAACTTTTTCTTTAGTCTCCGCCTGCCTGGCCTCTCCTTCAGGCTATTTTAGTACTGCCCAGTGGTTACTTAAGACTACTAACGTCTGCTCTACAGCATTAAATATCCGGGATCATACCTAGGAAGCAGAGCTAAAGGAAAGGAACCAACTGCTTACACAAGTCAGGGACCGACAACTGAAAAAGAACAGAATAACCAGGAAGACCAGCAAACCAAAATTGGTCTTTATTTAAGTGTCAGGGTAGAGCCTGAGCACTTGAAGAATACAGAGGCAGGATCTGAGTTTCTTAAGGATGCAGGCCTGGGTTTCTGGGCTACGGAGAAGACAGTGGGTGATTCAGATGCTCACAAGGACTTCAGGAAGGCCCTATATTTGGCCAGGAAAGGGGCAGACAGAATATTTAGCTCTTGCCGAAGTTCCTGTAGAGCTCTCTCCTGCTCTTGCTGCTCCCCCATCACCTGCTTCCTGTAATAGTTGATGTAGAAGTTCACCCAGTCATCCACTATAGTCACCATGGCTTCTTCAGGGATAGAAGGATTAGGGAAGACCTGCAGGGGATGGCAAGGGAAAATGCGGTCAGCAGTGTGACTCAGGAATAAGTCACAAATCTGACCTCCTCCTTTCTCTGACTTGCATTCCCTGTTTCTAATTCTTCCCATCAACAGTACCATTACTCTCCCAGCTCCAAATTAACCTCCCTTGTCTGCCCACACCCACCCACAAAGAGTAAGGCCTGTCCTTTGAAACAGTGCCTGGGCTTACCTGCTGATTCAGCAGAGCATTAAATTCCTTCATTCCTTTGGAAATGAGATCCTTGTTGGCCTGAAGAAGGGCCATCTGCCTAGGTTAAAGAAAGAGATTGAATTTAAGTATCCTTTTTCCTCATTCCTGAGTATTTCCCTCAATTCCCTCATCCCCCTTAAAGATATCTGGTGCCTTGCAGGACCACTTCTCCAACACTTTTCAAACCGTGCCCTGCACGGAGATCACATTTGTCCCAGGTTGACTCACCTGGTCCAACAGGGCTATGTATGTCTCACCCACACTTTCCAGGGTATGTATGTCCCTCTCTAAGCTAAACGTAGACAAAGAGTCAAGTATCAGCCTAAGAGGGAAACGCCCTGCATCTAGGTTCTGAAGGAGGATGATAGGTCAATCAGGAGATGGGGAGGAGGGAGAGGTTTCCCTGAAGTTAAAAGATAGCAAGGCTAAGAAAAGCAGATAAGTGAGGAGACCTAGAAAACTAAACAAGGACAGGTCCTTGCCATCTGCCCCACATCCCAGTATCCATGCTCCAAAATTAAAGTTTAGGCCAACAAAACTAATATTAATTGACCCCTTGTTACATGACAGACACCTTTTTTTCATTTTATTTTAATTCCGGTATAGTGGAATTACATACAGTGTCAGACCTACAATACAATGATTCAACAATTCCATACTTCACCCTGTGCTCGCCATGACAAGTGCACTCCTTAATCCCTATCACCCATTTCACCCATGCTCCCACTTACCTCCCCTCTGGCAACCTCTGCCTCTGGCTCTGGCTCTCTCTCTCTTTCCCTTGCTTTGTTTCTTAAATTCCTCTTATGAGCAAAATCATATAGCATTTGTCTTTCTCTGCCTGACTTACATGGCTTAGCTCCACTTATATTCTCTAGCTTCATTCATCTTGTCGCAAATAGAAAGATTTCATTCTTTTTTATGGCTGGATAAGATTCCATTATATATATATATATAATTTATATATAAATTTATATATGTATATGCCACATCCATCTATCAATGGACACTTGGGCTTCTTCCATAATTTGGCAATTATAAATAACGCTGCTATAAAAATAGAGGTGCATGTATCCCTTTGAATTAATGTTTTTCTATTTTGGGGATAACGAGACACTTTTAAATCATCACAACAATGTGATGTAATTACTCTCCAGTTCATTGATCATATTAATAGCAGCTCCATTAATCATTTGTGTCAGACACTGTTTTAAGCATGTATTGAGGTATTTCTCCTTATTAAAATTCTTATTAGACAGGGACTAATAGTAGCCACATTTTGCAGATGAGCCACCTATAAAATGTGGGAAATTGGACTCTACCAGGCTGTTCTCCATAAGAATGGAGACACATTTGTGGATTCTCACCGTATCATCAGGTACTCAACAAAGCAGAAATACTTTTTCTTCTTTTTAAATATTTTCCTAATGTTTTCCATTTTCAGTAGATGTTTTTCAAATTTCAAAATCAGCACATGCTAATTGAAGCATTTTGAAACAATACAAAAATGTACACTGAAAAAGTTGGTCATTTTTGATCAACAAAGTAACCAGCATTAAAGATGTATTTCTTTCTTGTCACATCTTTCTCCATTCAGAAACCAACATTCGTAGGCAGCTATATATTCATAAAGGCCCTGCTGATTTACTTTTTTGTTTATAGTATGTTCTTAATTAACATACAACAAAATTGATTTCCCTTCGCTGTACAATTTATGACTTTTATTACATAGATTCATGCAACTACTCCCACAATCAAGGCACAGAACATTTCCATCACCACATAAAGCTCCTTCATGCTACGCCTTTGCAGTCACCCCCACTCCCATCCCTAAACCTTGCCAACCACTGATCTGTTCTCCATCCCAACAATTCAGTGTTTTTCAGGATGTCTTATGATGGAATTCTACAATATGTAACCTTTGAGAGTGGCTTCTTTCACTCAGAATAATGCCCTTAGCGTTCATGCAAATTGTTGCAAGTAGCAGTAAGTTGTTCCTTTTCATTGCTGGGTATGCATCACATGGATGCACTATAGTTTGTTTATTCATTTACCCACTGAAGGACATATGGATTATTTGCATTTGGGGCAAGTATAAATAGAGCTGCTATAAATATTTTTGTACAGATTTTTGTGTGAACATGTTTTTATTTACCTAAGGTAGAAAATATTTTTTACCACTGAGGGAAATAATTACAGTACAACCTGTCAAGGAAAAGACACACAGAATTTATGATAAACTCTTATAGTTTGATAATGAAACAATCTAGTTTTTTTAAATGTTTTATTTATTTCTGAGAAAGAGAGAGAGAGAGAGGGGGGGGGCAACGTGAGCAGGGGAGGGTCAGAGAAAGAGGGAGACACAGAATCCGAAGCAGCCTCCAGGCTCTGCGCTAGCTGCCAGCAGAGAGCCCGGCAGGACCCACAAACCACGAGATCATGACCCAAGCCAAAGTCGGACACTTAACCAACTGAGCCACCCAGGTGCCCCAAAACAATCTAGTTTTTTAAGTTGCTAAAAGACTGGAACAGGGGCGCCTGGGTGGCTTAGTCGGTTAAGTGTCTGACTTTCGCTTAGGTCATGATCTCGTGGTTCGTGGGTTCGAGCCCCGTGTCAGGCTCTGTGCTGACTGCCAGCTCGGAGCCTGGAGCCTGTTTCAGAGTCTGTGGCTCCCTCTCTCTCTGACCCTCCCCTGCTCATGCTGTCTCTCTTTCTCTCTCCCAGAAATAAATAAAAATATTTTAAAAAATAAAAAGCTTTAAAAAAAATAATAAAAGACTGGAGCAGACATTTCACAAAGAAGATACACAAATAGCTAATAAGCATATGAAAGGACATTGAACATTATTACTCATCAGGGAAATACAAATTACAGCTACAAAGTTATACTACTGCATGCCCACTACAATGACTAAAATTTTAAAAGACAGATTAAGTGTTGGTGAGGACATGGGATGCCTAGAATTCTCATACACTGCTAGGAGTGTAAAATGGTACAACCACTTTGGAAAACAATTTGGCCATTTCTTTTTTTTTTTATGTCTTTATTTTATTTTTTGAGAGAGAGAGACAGAGTGTGAGCAGGGGAGGGGCAGAGAGAGAGGGAGACACAGAATCTGAAGCAGGCTCCAGGCTCCAAGCTGTCAGCACAGAGCCTGACGTGGGGCTCAAACCCACAGATTGTGAGATCATGACCTGAGCCAAAGTCAGATGCTCAACCGGCTGAGCCACCCAGGAGCCCCACAATTTGGCCATTTCTTATAAAGTTCAACATACGCTTACGCCATGACCCATACGCTTACCACATGACCCAGCAATTTCACTCCTAGCTGGAGTTCATGAGAAATGAACACACATGTCTACAAAACCATGCAAATGCAAATGTTCACAGCAGCTTTATTCATAAAAACCAAAAAATGGAAACAACCCAAAAGTCCAATAACCACTGAATGATATACAAATTGTGGTGTATTTGTACAATTAAATACTAGGCAATAAAAAGTAACAGACTAATGGTACCCATGACAACATGGGTGAATCTCAGAATAATTCTGCTGAGTAAAAGAAGCCAGACATAAAACACTATATACAGTATAATTCCATATCTATGAAATTCTTTTTTTTTTTTATGTTTTATTTATTTCTGAGAGAGAGAGACAGCCTGAGCAGGGGAGGGTCAGAGAGAGAGGGAGATACAGAATCTGAAACAGGCTCCAGGCTCCGAGCTGTCAGCACAGAGCCCGATGCGGGGCTCGAACCCAAGAACCGTGAGATCATGACCTGAGCCGAAGTCGGACGCTTAACCGACTGAGCCACCCAGGCGCTCCTCTACGAAATTCTTTAATAGGTAAAAATGATCTATAGTGAAAAAAGCAGATCAGAACACAAGAGTAGAGAGGCGCCTGGGTGGCTCAGTTGGTTAAGTGTCCAACTTCCGCTTACGTCATGATCTTGCGGTTCGTGAGTTTGAGCCCCACATTGGGCTCTCTGCTGTCAGCACAGAGCCTGCTTCAGAACCTCTGTCCTCTCTTTCTTTGCCCCTTTCATGCTCATTCTCTCTCTCTCAAAATAAATAAACTTAAATATATATTTTTAATTTAAAAAAAGAACACAAGTGGAGATTAAAATGCAAAGCTGCCCAAGGGAAATTGTTTGGATAATAGAAATATATATAAATTGATTCTAACAAGCATTTTCATACACTATTAGTAGGAGTATAAATTGGTAAAGGTTTTTAAAGGGATAATTTGAGGGGTGCCTGGGTGGCTCAGTCGGTTAAGTGTCCGACTTTGGCTCAGGTCTTGATCTTGTGGTTGGTGGGTTTGAGTCCCGCGTCAGGTTCTGTGCTGCCAGCTCGGAGCCTGGAGCCTGTTTCAGATTCTGTGTCTCCCTCTCTCTCTGACCCTCCCATGCTCTCTCTCTCGTTCTCTCTCAGAAATAAATAAAACATTAAAAAAAATCTTTAAGGGATAATTTGACAAAACTTGTTTCAATTAAAATACGCATACCACTCAACCCAATGATTCTGCCTGGAACTCTATTTTAAAGAAAATAATGAAATTATTTGTAATAATGAAAAGGTAGAAAAACCCAAAGGTCCATTACTATGGGGAATTATTACAGAAATTATGACACATTCATACTATGGAATGACATGCAGCTATTAAAATAAATGAGGTAGATATATATGTGCTGATATGAAAAGATCTCTAAGGTAATGTTAAATGAATCATAGTTAGAAAAGGCCACCCCAGGCTGCAAGTTTGGGAGTATGGGAGTAAGGACTAAAATGTAAAACTATATTTCTCTCTCTCTTTCTCTCTCTCTCTGTGTAGAATAGTAAAAAATGTTTACTTCCGGGGATTGACTAATTTGTTGGAAAATGGAAAAAGAGATAAATGCAAAGGAGAATTTGATCTTATCTATTTATATTATTATTTGAATTAGTTCACAGAAAGAATGTATTCTCTATTATTTTTATAATATTCATAAAGAATACAAAATTTAAAAGATAGAAAAAAGATGGTGTATTTCTAAAATCATTAGCCTCAAATATAAGTCCTGCCTCAGTGCCTAGAAGAGTAGCAGCTGCTCACTAAATATTTGTTGAATAAATAAATGAATGCCTTTGCCACTTTTCAGCTCTGTAACCTCAGTGAAGCCATTTCACATGTATAAGTCTCAGTTTTCTTGTTTGTGAAGAAGGAATAAAATAATAACTACTTTACAACGGCTATTGAGAGAATAAATTCATTCATTCTCTTATTTGGTATTTTGGCACCCCCCTTGCGCCAGGCAAGGCAATGGT